TTGTTAGAAATCTTTTGCTTCATATTGGTTGAAAGGTTTTTTATATCTGGTTGATATGATGTTGATTGCAAGGCAATACATGCTGCCGAATCTTCCTCCGTTAATCTGTTCCTAGCCTTTGAATGYGTATGATTTAATACCGAAAAGAGACTTTCGCAAGCATATGTTGAAGAAAAAATTGTTAACAATGAAATTGCTAATTTTTTGACGGAAGAAAAATTTTCTGGAATATTATTCCATACTTCTAATATTATGTTGTCAACACCGCAATCTGTTTCTTCGTTATGTATTCGATGACGTTCCAATTCTTCGATACGCTCTCGCATATTCACAAATTTATTTGTCCAAATTGGATTAGTTTGCAAATCGATTAACTGCATTTCTAAATTTTCTAATCCTATCCCATTAAGATAGTAATCATTAAAATCTTGCACATCGAATAAATCGGGATAATTAATAATTTTTATTAATTTTTCAATTTTTTTAAAATCATGAAACCTTTGTGAAAACTGTATTTTAATCAAACCAACAATATTTGAAAATTCATTGGTAAAATCCCAATTGGTTTGTTCAAAAATGTCCACTTCACMTAACATTTTTTTCACTTTTGGGAAGTATAGAAATTTTCCAGATTTGACATCGTTAATAAACATATTATCTATTTTAATTTCAAAACCTTTTATTAATCCAAACATGACTTCAATTTTTTTCCCGCGTCCTTGTAACTTTTTATTCAAAGTSTTCAAATGTAATGTTAGATCTGTGAAAAACATCAATTTTGCTAGCCACTCTGTATTATAAAGTTCTTTAAATTCAGTCTTATTATCATGTAAAAATAGGCGAATTTCGTCCAAACAATTTACAAATCGTTCTAATGATATAACCCGGCTTAGCCAGCGTACATTATTACACAATAAAAGAGTATCATATTCACAGTTAACATCATTTAAAATTTTTTTTAATTGTCTTTTATGCATATCACGAGCAATCTTTTGTTCATGATGGTAAAAAATTTCGAACATCCTGTAATTTTTGTTTTTTTGCATGTGACATTTTAAATAAAATTAATATAATAACGTAAAATTCGCATACGGTGTATTCTCTCAATACACGAACGAGAACTGATTACCTATATACGAGTAATGTTAACTTGTCCACACACTTCTAGTAATCTAGTGTCCCAMTATATTACAACATATAAATTATATTTTATAATAATAAAGATAAGATATCTGAGCCGTCATAGTTCTGTACTAAATACTATTAAATAAAAAAAAGATAAGATAACAATACGTCGTTGTGAAATATATATTATTAATATAAATATATATGGACAAATGAAGAGTGCCATCGAAAATCTCACGCGTGCCACCTATTTGCCATCCCTGCTTTAAAATCTAACATTTCAATCAACTACTAAAATTAAAATTAAAATATGTAGGAAAAACTATATTATTTTTTTAATTTCACTGATATTTTTATTTTTATTTTAATTGAATTTGATTTGCTAGGCAATTAATTTTTGAAAACAGGTATACATTAAAGTTATTAGTGAACTAAGAAATGTTCATATCATTTAACTTTTCATTGAGTTGAAATATATAATATTGAATACTTTATAATAGCAATTAATATTAATATTATATAATAACAAAAAATACCGTAGTTAACAGTAGTTATAGTGTTAATTAAAATTAATTTTCGTATCAAAAAGCCTGTTTGAACAATATTGAGCATCAAGATGAATATATATTTTAAGCAAAAAGTTATATTATGCTGTGCCGTACTCCTGTAATTATATCGTTTAAGATGAATAAATTGTTTCTTATTATTAGTTATTACATTATTTTCGGCTCTTAATATTATTTTTATATAATATTCCGTTTCTAAACTTTAATATATGACATAACATTTTCAATCCAATCGAATCATTCAATTATATGTTTATGGTAGGTACCTAATACCTATATATTATAAGTGTTTAGAATAATATAGATGCATAATTATTATATAAATAAAAACACCACATTGTAATAAAAACCCGAATAAAGTTCTTCAAAAACTGTAAAGTTTAATTAATTTATAAAAAACATAAGATATAGGGGACATAGATTATATTTTAACATTTTATAATAAGCTYGTAATAATAATAAATGTTGTACTAAAATTATATAATATTTATTATATTACTACGTTTTATAATTTTGTAACTTTTTATACATTATATGAATGCAATACTCATTCATATATATTATCATCATAATTCATAATATAGCGTTAAAAATAATTCCACGGATAAAAAATATTTTATTTTTAAATTGAAATTACGATGAGGTATTGAAAAATATATCTACGATAAAGATGTAACTAAATTGTGTATTTGCGCCAGAAAAAATGAATTCTATGTCAGTGAAAACTCCAGAACAACAACAAAAAACGAATCTCATGTCGAAAGTGTGTGTTGAGTATACTTAAATTCGTTATGTGTGGTGCGTGAGTGTTTATAGTCTCATAAAGTCATAACATTTTAGATCTAGTTGCATTTATATATATATATGTACATAATATGTACACGGGTCATAATGAATCACAAATATGACAACCAATGATGCACTATCTATATAGAATACGTTCAGGGTGATCCATTTAACGTATAAGATACTCGTTATTTCAAAAAACACTAATGTTTTTGAAAATATTAATTGTTTTACATAATCTTTAACTGCTTGTTATCGTTAGAATTTAAAAAAATTTTAATTCTATTGAATGACAATATACATTTTTAAATTCATATTCTAAAACAGAATATCATCTGAAGTATTCGATCCATCAAAATCAAATTTCGTACGAGTAGTTTATTAGTCATAACATTATAAGTATCTRTTTAAAGTTTAAAGTAGAGAATCAAAAATTTGTGAGGTAACCTGTTAACTCCACACCACTCCATTAAATTACAGTATGATATTTATGATTTTATGAGTTATAACGCATAACTCGTCTTATGTTTATGTAACGAACTACCAACTCCAAAAAAATATTGTGTTTCGAAATGAAGATTTAAAATCCATGTTATAAAATTTCGTTTTCAAAAACATTAATATTTTTTTWAAATAATGATMGAATTTCGTTAAATGGATTATCCAGTAAACCTGTATAATATGACATATTATAAATTTATAACATATATGGTGCATCGATCTGCAATCTTTACATTTTGGTGTGCATCCCAACGTTACATACCAATAACTACGTAAAACGTAGTTACATTTTACATCGATACCCACATTACAATAGACTAGACTTACTCCACGAACCGATATCGTGCTTAATTTATTTTTGTATTAAAAAAATTGGTTTATATTTATTTGGACTAAATTAATATTGTGATTAAATTTGTATCTTTTAATCATGGGAATAATATTCATGTATACATAATAAATATGTATATAGTTTTCATATAAAATCGCATAACAGTTATTTATACCACCGCAACGTCGTTTTTGACTTTTTGTTCACCGCTCCGACATCAACACCGCTATGGAGGGTAATTTTTACAATTATTGGATCAACACTTTCACACACAAACACACGTCACGTTACATTATATAGGTACGCGTATACATATTTTAATATAATAATAATAATAGTGAAAAAAACTGATCGACAATGAATTTAAAAAAAAAATTCCTACTTTTTCACCGATAATAATAATAGCAGTTACAATAATAGCAATCGACGCAATGCGAAATGTACAAATAACAAACAAACAGCGTCGTCAATCAATCAACACGACGACAAATCGCACCGCTATATACGCATTATATTATGAGGAGGGGCTCGACGACCACCACAACGGCACTGGTACACGCGCGTACAAACATCACGTGCCATTGACGATTGTACACACATATTTAGTATAATATAATGTCGTGTGTGTGTGTATTAATATGATATTTTCCATTTATTTTATTATTCCAAAATGTGTGTGAGTGGTGTGTGTGTGTGTGTGTGTAGAGGATTGGTGGTAGCAAACGAGGGACATGAAAAAAAAAATGATAATAATAAAAAAACTTATGGAAAGAAAAGCAATAAATTATGATTTCCTGTGTCACTTGTGTATGTGTGTGTCTTTTTAACCGTCCTGCACCCCTTTGCTATAACGACAGCCCCTGCACACTTCCGGCCACGTTCGACAATAATAATAGTTTGGCTCCGTTCAATTCGGTACATATTATACGCGCGTACCGTATCATTTTAGGTCAGACGAACCTATGTCGCCGGCCGTATTTGCGTTCTTATTATTTATCGTTTTCCGTCCGACCGACACCATTCACGCCCCTCTACCATTCACCTCCTGCACGACTACCCCGCTGCCGACCATCAGCGACGGACTCCACTGTAGAATATTGTGTGTATAGGTACATCGTATTATTATTATACATGTATGGAGTCCCGATCTATGCACAATTTGATTTGCACGCGACACGGGCGAAAACATACTAACCACTACCCATTTACCACTTTAATCTGGGTAAATATAGGCTGCCCATATTACAGGCACATCGAAAATATACGGACGTCGCGACCGAACCGGAATGGGTCGGAAAGTGTGACTTGTATACATACTGCGTATATAACGATAGATTAGGTTATTTATATACAAGCAGTCTATACATAACATTATGTATTTTTATTTATTTATATATATATATATATATATATACGTATGTATATATATTTTTTTTTATTCATATATTATGTGTACATTATAAATGTGTGTATAACGATGCAACCATACAGGTGACGAACCTTCGTGTGTATGTAATTCTATTTATGTACAATATATAACTACCCAACTATATATTAAACTATAAAATATAATTATAATTTTTGTATAACTTGGTAGGTATATTTATATAAATACGCGGAGGTGTATTTGTGTGTTTACTTATATGTGTAATAGACAGGTACGTAGTACACACGTGTGAGGGTAAAAATAGATAAAAACATAATATTTTAATGCAATAAATAAATACTGTGACGTGAATCTATTGCACTGTGGAATGATAGTTATTACGCAAAACGTTTGACGGATAATTGTCTTCAATGAATTATCAAAAATATAAGTTACGATCAACTTTGATTGGTGAACTCTGACTACATAAATTATATAATAATATTGAACGCTTTAAAAACTGTTCAATACATTGCAAAATTAAATAAACATATACATACATATTTTATTATAGAATAACAATTTATTAGTTACTTAATTTATTATCATTACATTATATTTTTATTTATAATAAATTAAATATATTATAATTGTTTGACTTTTTCTAACAGTTTTAAGTTATTTATTTATGATGTTTTAAAATAGTATAATACTTACAATAATTGTACCTACCTAGTAATACCATTTTAGTTTTGTTATTTCTTTACTAAAGTACTACGTGTTGAGATTGGGAATGCTAAGTATTTTATCATATTGGCATATTGCACTATTTAACTTGAGTCACCGTGAATAATATGTCCTAAATCTCATAAACTGATACATATTAGAAAAAATGCTGTATTCACCTGTATTCGTTGCACTGTAACAAAATCATTTTATATTATTTACTTAGCGTAAGCATAATAGCATAGTTATTGTCTACACTCTTATAGCAATCAATCAAAAAAAAAATGTTTGTTTAGCTGTCATTTAATGTAGGCATATTACATAGACTAAAGGTGATCCGTAATGTTTTTCTGTTGTTA